AGATGTTTTCAAAATATACCAGCATGGAGTTGACGGCTAAGCCTACAAAACATTTAAAATAACCAAACTTTGTATTTCTAAGTTATAAAGTTGCCAGCAAATCTTAGTCACACAAAGGTCGGTAAACGGCAAAAAGATGACCATGCGCAAGGGATGGGGTTCTCTGCCCATAATTTCCATCAACAAATATCATCTAAATAAGTAGCTTAATAGTGGGTACTAATTGTGTTGTCATTTCAATTTGGGCCATAACACAACTGAAGTCTAGGACCATTACACAGACTTCACACTGATTACATAAGAACCTCAAATTTGTAAGTTGGAAAGAATATGAAAAAGTCTCCTAGGCTTCCTCTCGCTCAAGCTTAGGAAAACTCTAACCAATCCCCAATAAGTTAATGGAGTAAACGGCTTAGTGGAGTATATATACCCCACAAAGTTTTGGCCGGACCTAGCCGATCCCCTAAACTTAGCGGAGTGAAAAAAATTCATTTGCATTTCAATTTCGGCCAACAAAACACATTTCTTTGCTTCTTTATTTCATTCAACGACACTGGATTACATAATAATTCACCAACTCTTTGCAAAGAGCAAAGAAAACAAGAACCACAATTGGACATTTTAGAAGATACCCAATTTTCCTAACTGCTCCCACTAGTTGGATTAGTATCTTTTTGATGCCTTCATTGTTGATCTGCGGATTCTCGATCTTGCATACTTCATTCTTCTTCTTTGATTCTAAAGAAGTAGACATTGCTTCCCCTCTAATTTCTTCTCTAATCTCACATCTAGTCTCATCTTTAGCCTCAATTCTAGCAACAAGTGCACGACATTTATTAATTTTTGTGCTATCAATAGTTCGATGTATGCTTCTTCCCAATACTAAAACGAGCATCCATCATCCTAGACACATTGATGAGCATCAATGAGCTACCGAAATTGAACCGAATCTGGTGACAAACCGAATCAAAACAAGCACATACCCCATCATTTGTGCATTTGAAGAACACCCATCCGGAATGTTGCGGCCTGGTAGAAACTCGGCGCACCACTTGCTGTGTACAGTCATCGCATTGTATGACCGACAACTACGAGCCGGCGAACCGTCGACGGGAGCAATCAGAGTGGCTAGAGGAAGAGTTGGTAGCTGCATGCGGCGCGGAGGCTTTGCCGTGGCTGTGTGGGCCTCTTCCCGGCTAATCCATGGCAAGGCGCAGCCGCCGCTAGCCGGAAACGCCAAATCCGGCAGCGGCGACAACAGCCATAGATCTCCTCGATTTTTGGCCAGCGACGGGATGAGGTGGTAGTGTCTGATAGCGGCGGAGGCCTCCAAGGCTTCCCCTGCGGCGGGCCGGTGCCGACAGGGAGGGGAAGGGGTAGGAGGGGCGGTGGGGGCTAAGATGCGGCGCGGGAGGGGAGGGAGAGGCAGCTGAGGAGAGCCGCGGCGTTTTACTCGGCGGAGGAGAGAATCAATATAAATAGGGGAATTTTTAGGAAGAGGAGTAAAATTTACTCCGTTAGGCTGGATTGGGGATCGGCTAGGTGCGAGCTAGTGGAGTAAAAAGCTAAATAGACTCCACTAACCGGTTATAGGGGATCAGTTAGAAATGCCCTTATTTCAGAAATTAAGCTTACAAATAAGCTGAAGCTCAGCAGAAGTTGGTATGTAGTGAGCTAAACATAGAGAAATATAATTCTATCATGCATTGGATATCCCGGGAATAAATGAGCCATTGATCGCATTGGAGATTCGTGCACCATAATATGTATTCATTTTGTGTATCTTCTTGTACTCTTTTTTTCCGATAAAGGGCGAACTTTATTGACTCAAAATGAAGCATCAAGGGGATACAAAACATAATGAGTCCACACGCCATCAAATAGCAAAGTCATATCAGACCAAAGCTATATGGAGGCATCAAAATAAAAAACAATCTGATCCGCGGTTGACAAACTACAAAAGAATGACCGTATCCGCACCAACCATCTCACGGCACCACACGGACAAAGATGTTTCTTCAACAGCAATGCCTTCAAGAAGGGAGCGATGCTCAAGCACAGCCGTCACCGGATCCAACCACCTAAGGTTAGAATCTAAGTTTTCACCCTAAAGAATCGGTCCGAGCATGTCCGAGCAATGCCTTCATCAAGGTGACAATATAAAAACATCGCGATTGCCAGGTATAGACAACTTGAGTCAGACCTAGGTTTTCACCCCGAAGCTCGAGACCGAGTGCTTGTAGCACCACCATCAAAGCCATTCATGTGTTGTCACCACCATGTTTTCACGATCCCAGCAGTCACATGCGAAAACTGCACAACCATTCATCTGCGTCAAGTCTTCTTCCATAGTTTGCATTTCTCCGCCGAAGCCAGCCACCGGATCTGGAGTTGGAACCCTCAGGAAATCCTTTTGATAGCCACTGCAGTTCGCAACGAGGCCACCGCCCCATCGCACAGACACACCAAATTTTACCTTTTGTGAGGACTACCTGAGATGCTATGCTCCACCCACCATGATATGGAATGCTTCATCTACTCATACTTTATCATGTGATCTTCAAGGTTGTGTGTTATCTTTTTGACCAATTGTCCAATTTCTAATATGTTTGCATATTTTATCTTTGTTTCGGAAAACAATCATGTCGTCTCACTATGGATTGTCATGTTCCATAGCATATCATTATGTTTTATTCCGTGTCAATATATTTTAGCGACTACTCTGCGCCGGCGCACCGGCGCAATCGATTCGGCCAGACACCGCGCGGCCGTTTGATTTGATTATATTTAACCGTCAAATCCTGTATCGTTTTCTCCTAATAAAGCGCATCCAACAGAGGAAAAAAACAAAGCAGCGCCGCCTCCAAGACTCGCCATGGATACCGATGTAGTAGCAAACCTTGAAGAACCGCCGCCCGTTGCCACCCTCGCTGGCCTTGTCGCCGCTCTCCTCCCTCGCCGTCGGTCACCACCGGTTGCCGCCCTCGCCGTCGGTCACCACCGGTTGCCGCCCTCGCCGCCGCTCGCCGCCCTCGCCGTTGTTCACCACTGCTTGCCGCCCTCGCCGTCGATCACCACCGGTCGGCGCCCTCGCCACCTCTCGCCGCTCTCGCCGTTGGTTAACACCGGTCGCCGCCCTCGCTGCCCTCGCCATCGTTCACCACCGGCCACCGCCGGCATTTCTCGCCAGCTCCATGCATGCAACAACATGCACTTGTGGTTGCAGCTCCGGGGGAGATGGCTGCAGGTCCGGTGGTGCCGGCCGCCGGGCCGCAACACTTGTCATTCAGCTTGCGATGTACCTCCCGTGTGCCCGCCCGAGGCTCTTGCTAGTTCCAACAAAAAAAGATGCTGATTGTAGCAAAATAGTTTATCGCTTCCAGCAAAAAAAGCTTACCGCTGCCGCCCACTGTCGTCATTGTAGCAAAAATGTTAACTAGATGTAGCTTTTGTGGTTGCTGGTTGCAGCAAAAAAATGCCGTGGTTGTAGCAAAAAACAAAATAAACATCGGCCAGCCGTTGTGTATGGTGGTAACAAACCCTGTAGCCGGTGGTAGCAAAAAACTTCATAGTTTGCAGCAAAAAACGTTGTCGCCCGTCGGTCGAGGTTGCATCATCTTCGCGAATTATGTCGCAAAAAAATTTGTAGCCGGTAGTAGCAAATGAAGCTACTGGTAGTAGCAAAACAAGACACTGGTTCCAGCAAAAAAAAATCAGTGACAAAACCTGTTGTTGGTTCTAACAAAAATAATGTTGGTTGTAACATCCCTCGCCACCGGATGTAGCATCTCCCGCGGCCGGTTGCAGCACTCCATAAAAAAGAGGAAGAAGCTATGTATGGACGCATCCATCGCGACTGTTGCATCCATGGCAGTCAACGGTTGAAGCTTTTTCCTGCGGCTGGTTGAAGGTTTTTCCGTCAACGGTTGCAGCCTTTTCCTTTTCATAGTGCTTGTTGAAGCTTTTTTCATCTACGGGTGAAAGCTATTTCTGTCAATGGTTTTAGCACTGACTGGCCCCTAGCTTTCGCCATCTCCGGTCGAAACTTTTCAATGCTCGGTTGTAGCTTTTTGAGGTGCCGGTTGCAGCTTTGTGGGTTGCACAGAATTGGTTGTAGCACCCATGCAGCAAAAAATCAACGATGATTCCAGCAAAATTTACCATCGATTCCAGCAAAAAATCTCAACAGTTGTAGCGGGGAGCAGTTTGAGATGCGTGGGACTGGGGAGGTAAGGGGAGAGGAAGAAGCGGCAAGGTCAAAGGAAAAAAAAAGCAGAAAAAAATGCAGCAGGGAAGAGACAAAGAAAGCGCTCGAGGCCCACCAAACGCATGTGCTGGCCTGTTCCCGCAAAGAGCGAGCGAGCGAGCGGGCGACCGGCCGAGCGCTCGGCCGGTCGTCCGTAGGAAAACGTTTCCCATATATTTTTGGTTGATGTTACGTTTCTCCTTCAAATTCTATCATCAAGTTTCTCCATGTTTCAGAATTCAACGTTAAAACTTGTCAAAATAGGATTCTAGACTGGTCATGTTTCAAAGTCCTAATTCTCAAGAACACAAATATGCAAACTAGTTATAGACGGGAGGAAAATTGGTTTGAAAAATTTAAATAGATTCAAACGTGGAAATCACATGAAGTATGTATGGATATAGCACCATTGCACTTTTTTTTTACTTTAATACATATCCACTACTCATTTACCGTGGTCCACAACGCAAACTACTCCGTGTAGCAGTGTATTTAACTTGAATATGTGTGTGGAATGGGAGAGGAAGTTTTGAAAAACAAACAATGCACACTGTTCATTTGGTGTGCTGACATACACTTCCATATAGTGTATTAAACTAAGTATATGAAAGGGATTCATTACAACGATTTCTAGTGAATTTTTGGCACGAACCTCCTCAAACATATATGCAAGATAAATGGCAACGCGACGTCCTCAAAAAAGAAGCCGGAAGCATTATTGTAAGCTTCAAAGTTTGGCGCATTTGTCCCCAAATTAAACATCTGACTTTCCACCAAGGCGACACGTGAAGAAGGCGGGCCAATCGATCTCCACTGGGAACGCCGTCTTGCAGCCGTCGAGACCACGGCAAAACTGCTTGTCGGTCGTCTCCTCCATTGCGCCGCTTTCCAGATCGGCGATGTACATGCAGCGGTGAAGGTCCTTGATCAGCAACGTGCCGCTCCTCTCCCCCAAGCACATGCACACCGGCATGTCGATTTGCTTCTGCCCGGGTGGTCGCAGCTCCACCACCCCAGCTCGGCACCAGTCTCGGCCACACTCCTCGCCGCCGTCCCCCCTCGTCCAGGTCTCTACTCGGAGGGGCTCCCTGAAAAGGCAGAGCGACGATAGCGCCGTCTCGTCGGCCGCGACGCTTATCCGTGGCGTGTCGTAGAGGTGGTATTCCATGTCGCGCGGCCTCGGGGCCGGGAGCTTCTGCAGGGACACGCGGCCGGTCACGGCGTCCACGTCGATGGCATGGAAGTCCACCAGGTCCCAGATGAGCCAGTGCACCGTCCCGTGGCGCACCACGGCGCCGCGCTGCTTCAACGGCCCGAAGATGCCGTGCTCCATCGGGCTGAAGAGCTTGCTGGGCGCGCTCCAGCTCGGCTCGCCGCCGGACGAGAACGTCCGGAGGTCGTACTGGTGGCTGCCCTCGTTGTTGTAGCCGACGATCAGCACCTTGAAGGACGTGGGCCCCTGGTTCACGACGGCGTACGCGCTCGCGTCGGCGTAGTCGAAGAACCAGCCGCGCTCGAGCGGCGGGAGCACGTCGCACGCGCCGGAGTGCAGGTTGCACACGGCCAGGTGGTCCACGTCGACGCCCGGCTCCGCGCCCGCGCCCGCGCCGCCGGCTGGGACGAAGCGCACGAGGAGGAGGCCGCGGTGCGAGGCGAGCGGCACCGCGCGGTCGAAGATGCCGGCGGCGCCGGGCACGAAGGAGCCCAGGAAGGGGCGTTCGGACCCGAGGACCGACCCCGGCGCGCGGACGAAGCCCGGCGAATCAGGGACGTCCCCGTGACCCTCTCCGCCGGGGCGGCGGCACCACTCCTGGCCGAAGAAGCCGAGGAGCGAGGAGGGGTGGCGCGTGCCGTCCGGCCAGCGGCGGCGGAGGAAGGACGGGTCGGCCACCAGCGTCCTCCAGCGCCTGCACGCCGCGGCGCAGCGGAAGAGGCCCGCGGCGTCCGGCACACGCGCGAGGATCTCCAGCGCGACGTCCTCCGGGAGCGCGGCCGGCGGCGACGCCATGGCCTTCTGATCTCTCACCATCGATCGATCCCCGCACGTACGTACGTATGGTATGGTAAGTGGACGTCGCGAAAGATCGAGATGCGGGATTAGCTGCTGCTATCTTGGATGATTCGTTGCTGATCGATTAGAGAGGGCGCCGCATTATATAGTGAAGACACGATTACGTCTGCGTAATCGCCGGTCCGGGTCCGACTGCCCCGGCATGTCACGCTGCATAAAGTGTACTGCTTTCGTAATTATTCTTACGGCTTAGTACTATTCCGACTCGTCTCAGGTTAATCCTGGGATTATTACTGCACGCAAGACATGAGCACGGAGAGACAATTTTTCCACTTAAGCAAATTGTAACGCCCCGGATACAACTTTTCATATTCGTAACTCCGACTCTTGCCTTTTTCAGAGATGCTATATAATATTTCCTTCGTGGTTGGGTTTTTGTCGTTTGTTTTGCATTTTGTTCTTGTTATGCATCTCGTATCATGTCATCATTCGCATTGCATCGGCATCATTTTCATAAAACTTGCATCCGTTCGGGTTTCGCCGGTTCTCTTCGTTGTCCATTCCGAGCCCCGACACTCTCACACGCGCCCGCGGCACCTCCGAAATATTATTTATAAGCGGCATAAAAATGTTCTCGGAATGGGTTGCAACTTGTCGTGCGGTCTTATTATAGTGTAGACAGGCCGCCTGCCAAGTTTCGTCGCATTCGGAGTCCATTTGATAGCCCATCCGTTAAATATATAGCGGCACCGTTGCCGGTACCTTCGTCGGACGTTTTCGGTCTCCGAAAACTGTTGCCGGGCTGCCTTCTCTTCTCTCTTCTCAACCCAACCCCCCTCCGCACAGCCCATCTAACCCGGCTTAAACCCCCCCTCTGACCGGTGTCGTTGGATCGTCATCGGAGGCTCCGAAACCCCTCCTAAATCCCCCTAACCCTAGCCTTACCCTATATAAACACCCCTCCTTCCAATTTGGGCTACCCTAGCCTTCCCCTACCCCTAGCCTCCTCCCACCTCAAAGCGACTGCCGCCAGCCACAGCCAGCCACTTGTCGCCGCCACTTGGCCTCCTCCCGCGCCGCCACCTCGCCGCCCAGACGCGCCCGCGGCCAACCCGGACGCGCCACGTCGCCCCAACCAGCATCCACCGCCGCGGCCCGCGAAGCCCACGGGGAGACCGCCCCGGGCCGCGCCCGGGCCCAACCCCGTGCGCCCCTGACCCCTCGCCCGCTTCCCCTCGTCGTCCCCTCGTCCTTGCGCTCCGGCCACCAGGGGCCTCGCCGGAGCAGGAACACCCGACCCCGCCACCTCGCAGCCTCGTCGCCGGCGAGCAACCAGGTCGCCGCCTCCCTCTCTCTCCCGTCTCTCCCTCTGGTATCTCTCTCTCTTAGATCTCTCTCTCCCCTTGCAGGAGCGCCGCCGTCGCCAGGAACCGTCTTGACCCGACGAGCTGCTGCCGGATCCGTCCTCTGCTCCCTCCCCCGCGTCCATTCCCGACCTCCATGCCCGTCGCCGTCGCCGAGAGGACCTCCTGCCGCCGGTCTTCTTCTGCGTTGGAGGGTGAACGAGGCAGCGCTCGCTGCCGTTGACCGCGCCGCCGCCGTGCTGGTCAGCTGCGTGGGCTGCCAGCCGCGCCAAGCCCCAGCCCACCAGATCTGCCGGCCTGCCAGGCCTCTCCTCCAGCCGGGCCTCAGCCCATGGGTGAGCTGCCCCAGCGCCTCCCTTTTTTTCCTTCTGCTGGGCCTGTTCCAGTGGTTTCGGCCCGCGTAGGGTTTTTTTAGCATCTGTGAATTTGTCTAATTATCCAGCGATTTACAGATTTGCAGAAAACCCCCTGTTGTTCATGCTTTTAATAACTCACAAAATATGCATCGTATGTAAATAATTTATATATGTAAAATGCTCAGAAAATTGTGTAGATTAATAATATGCCACTTTCATCTATGTTAAAAATGTTTAACTTGTTGTTTGTTTAAATTTGCTAATATGCCATGTTAAAATGTTTTAATTCATAACTAAATAACCGTAGCTCCGTTTTAAACAAACTTTATATGTAAATGGGGTGGAAAAATGCCTAGATTAACATGGTGCACTTTATTTTCCTGTTTAACAACAATAAAAATTATGTTTAGGGCAGAACAGTACCGAATCTAAAATATGCATATGGGGATTTTCCGGAATTGTTGTTTGTTATTTCCGGCCTCATTTAAACTTGCCTAAATAGTTAGTTTACTTATGTTTCACCTCTTGCCATGTTTAACAACATTTAACATGGTTGTGTACCTAAACGAGAGGGAACTAAATAACTTGAATGTGGTGTTTTGTCAATATGCAACTCGTTGCATATTGAGCTCCATTTAACTCGTAGTATTGTTTGTTGCACTTTGTCATACCATGCCTCGTTAAACCGGACATGCATCATACTTGATTGTGCATCATGCCATGTTTATGCTTGTGCATTTACCATGTTGTTTGTTTCTTTCCGGTGTTGCTCCTTAGTTCCAGTAATGTTGCGATTGTGAGGATTCGTTCGACTACGTCCGTTCGTCTTCTTCATGGACTCGTTCTTCTTCCTTGCGGGATTTCAGGCAAGATGACCGTTACCCTGGATCTCACTACTATCATTGCTATGCTAGTTGCTTCGTTCTATCGCTATGCTGCGTTACCTATCTTTTGCTCATCAAGCCTCCCAAATTGTCATGAACCTCTAACCTTTGACACCCTTCCTAGCAAACCGTTGCTTGGCTATGTTATCGCTTTGCTCAGTCCTCTTATAGCGTTGCTAGTTGCAGGTGAAGTTGAAGATTGCTCCATGGTGGACAGGATCTTGGTTGGGATACCACAATATCTCTTATATTATTAATGCATCTATATATTTGGTAAAGGATGGAAGGCTCGGCCTTTTGCCTGATGTTTTGTTCCACTCTTGCCGTCCTAGTTTCCGTCATACCGGTGTTATGTTCCCGGATTTTGCGTTCCTTACGCGGTCGGGTGATTTATGGGACCCCCTTGACAGTTCGCTTTGAATAAAACTCCTCCAGCAAGGCCCAACATTGACTTTTACCATTTGGCTCACCACCACCTACTTTTCCCTTGGGAGTCGCTCTCTCGAGGGTCATCTTTATTATAGCCCCCCCGGGCCAGTGCTTGTCTAAGTGTTGGTCCGAACTAGAGCCCTTTGCAGCGCCCCCTCAGGGAAACTTGAGGTCTGGTTTTAGTTGTACAGATTGCTCATCCGGTGTTGCCCTGAGAATGAGATATGTGCAGCTCCTATCGGGATTGTCGGCGCATCGGGCGACTTTGCTGGTCTTGTTTTACCATTGTCGAAATGTCTTGTAAACCGGGATTCCGAGTCTGATCGGGTCTTCCTGGGAGAAGGTATATTCCTTCGTTGATCGCGAGAGCTTGTCATGGGCTGAGTTGGGACACCCCTGCAGGGTATAATCTTTCGAAAGTCGTGCCTGCGGTTATAGGCAGATGGGAATTTGTTAATGTCTGGTTGTAGATAACTTGACACCAGATCTGAATTAAAACGCATCAACCGTGTGTGTAGCCGTGATGGTCTCTTCTCGGCGGAGTCCGGAAAGTGAACACGGTTTCTGGGTTATGTTTGACGTAAGTAGGAGTTCAGGATCACTTCTTGATCATTGCTAGCCTCACGACCGTTCCGTTTGCTCTCTTCTCGCTCTTATTTGCGTATGTTAGTCACCATATATGCTTAGTCGCTGCTGCAACCTCACCATTTTACCCCTTCCTTTCCCTTTAAAGCTTTGCTAGTCTTGATACCCATGGTAATGGGATTGCTGAGTCCTCGTGGCTCACAGATTACTACAACAACAGTTGCAGGTACAGGTTATGCGATGATCATGACGCGAGAGCGATGCTTGCTTGCGTTGAGTTCTTCTTCTGCTTCTTCTTCGATCAGGGGATAGGTTCCAGGTCGGCAGCCTGGGCTAGCAGGGTGGATGTCGTTTGACTTTCTGTTTGTGTTTCATCCGTAGTCGGATGATGCTCTGATGTATTGTGATATTGTATTCATGTGGCATTGTATGCCTTATGTATGTATCCCCATCTATTTATGTAATGTTGATGTAATGATATCCACCTCGCAAAAGCGTTTCAATATGCGGGTCTATCTTTGGTGGGACCTTCGAGTTCCTTTTGGATAGGGTCGCATATTGGGCGTGACACAAATATAAGCTCGTAAATTCATACATGGGTCATATGTTTCAGAAGAATAATAAATTCAATTAAAATAGCAAAAATATCAAAAGAATCTAAAAATTTTGTACATCAAAGACGCTCAACTCTTCTACTACATGCTTGCAAAATTTCGTGCATAGATGAGAGGAGCTCGGTAAAAAAAAAACTAAGCTTCCAAATGTCAGGTGGTGTGAAAAAATTTCGAGCTCCGATTTTGTTTTTCTTTCTACCAAGGTCATCTCGTCACAAAATTTTGCAAGAGTTTAAC